GTAGATTTTAGCTAGATAGCAATTGTGATATTTGCATCCTCAAAGTCGTCAGTGGAGCGTGTGCGGTTTACCGGCACACCAACATGGACTTGTGAGAAGTGACAAAGGTCTAAACAATCAAGACTTTGATTACGACATTCCTTTTCATAGTTCTTAAATTTGTTTAGACACACCTGTGAGCTATCTAAGATAAGGTGTATGATTATGATAAAGTTTTATCAAAGCAATCTAGTATCAGAAATCTGAACTTTGGTAAGAAAGTCAATAAAGTATTGATTTCTAGAAGTCCAGCTGATTTCTGAGTACATGTTAAAGCTATTGGGAGCATTAGTGTTATGCTAATAATCATCATGTTAGTCGGAGCATGATAATTATGATAAGTATTGCAAGTTAGCATTGTTAATTATGGGAAAAAAGTTTTAATTAGGAAAGAGTTGTTTTGATATAATTAAGGGAGAGGAAATTATACTTCATCTCAAATCTAAAAGCTTAGATTGAGGTTTTAATCGTATTTAGTCAAGAATATATATATATATATATATATATATATATATATATATATATATATATATATATACGAATGTTATGTTGGAATGGCTCAACATAAGAAACTTCTATATATGGGTCCATTATTTGCGTTCTAAAATCGATTATGATTACGACATCCCTTTTCATAATCTGAATTATGAGAACATGGCAAATAGAAATGGAAATGTTATAGAAAAAGATTGGTTTAGTCTTTATGTGAGACATCATGAATCGTGTCCCATATGTTTCGGATATAGGATCGATTACATTTTTTATATTCATCCTTTCTAAAATTTTCCAAATGACTGGGCCATTAAGAAGGGAAAAGGTCTAGAATTGGATATGACTAAAAGGATTAAACAATTGTGAAGGACAATCTAAGGTTTACCAAAGATTGGTTTCTCATGGAAAGTTGGAAGTATAGTGATAATTCTAAAAGGACCATATTGACATAATCGGTAAGGAGGCAACTCTTATTCAAAAGTGATAGTGAAAATGGAATCTGGAAATGTTTCAAAGTTAGAAATTATTCAATCTGTGTAAGATTAGAAAACTTAATGCAAGAAGGATGTTTCCAAGGAGCTGATCTCCTTTGGAATGCTCTGTAATGGTTGTTGTCAAGTCTTTCTGACTTTCTGCATAATCGTTACAAGAGATTCAACGCATATAAGTTTAGAATATAACAAATTTTAGTAAATTGCATGAATTTGGAATTCTTGCATTTGCAGTAAGGATTTGGGACTGTGAAAAGGGGATGATTGCAGTTATGTTCAATTGACCTAATTCACAAAGTAAATATCATAGACAAACATAGTATTCATACTTGGTGTATGGCATGACTAGTGTTTAGAAAACATAGTGTACATGTTTGGAGCATGGGACAACTATTGTTTTAAATTCAAGAATAAAGTTGATAGCTGAAACAGTATACAATGAATAGTGTGTAATCAAATCGTGATAAATAAAACTTGTTTTACTTATGTTCATAGGTTTTGATATCATATTGGATTCAATTATTATTGTGTTTCACTAAGTTATTCAAAGCATCCACAGTCGGTCATATGTTGGAAGTAGATATGAATTAAGACTGTCATGGGTTGGCTTGTAGAGGTCTAAGATGTTGGACAAAGGGCTACAACACTCATGAGTACTCATAAGTTCTGAGTTTTAGATTCAACTCATGCTCATTGGAATCACTTCATGGAATTTATCACGAGTGATCATGAGATGATAATATCTTATATTTTTCAAACCTAGAGATATGAGTTGTTACTATGAGTTGGTTGTACATTGATTGCACGAAAACACATTCGATAACTCGATGTTATAAAACGTGCCTTTGTGTATGATTCATCAAGTAGTAGAACAAGCAATATGAGTCGAAGTTTATCTACTCCTTTTAACTTCAGGATAACAGCGATATATGTGGGTCCCTCGATGATTTGATGATGAAAAATGGAAGTGCTCGGCTGGGCCGGGACTGATTTGATTTGTTCAATTAGTCAGTCGTCATAAATCGGAAATCGGGAAACAACAAATCGACAGATAGAATGATTAGAATCCATGTCTCAGTCCATATGATATCTAGAATGGAGGAATATATGACCCCTTATCTAATGGACAAAGTCATTGACAAAGGTTAGAGTTCATCGACAAGGTCAAAGTTCGATAGAAGCTTTTGAGAGCTACGATTGCAGTTGGTTCTTGATATCATACGCAATAATAGTTTTAGACTTATCCAAGTGGGAGACTGTTGGATTAATGTCTAAGTCCATAACTATAATTGGTGAGACTTGACCCGAACCGGCATGGTCCATTTGGGTTGCATGGCATCATGCATTTGGATAGACTATAATGAGAGAAATAACACTTAAGGTTGGTTAATATATTATAAGTTCTAATATATTAATAAGATTGTTTAATTAGTATTGATCAAGAATTAATCTAGGATTAAATAAGTCATCAAAAGAAGACTAATTAAATATATGGGTTGATTGTGTAAATCATCCCTACTTGTATAGTGGACTAATGCTTCATGGATTGTCAAGTTGGGCTAAAACCCATAGGATGCTCCATGGTGTATTTAAACCCATGGATCAAAGGAAATGGAAAGCCATGACAATTAGGGTTTACCCTAATTGTGACACTATATAAAGATTATGTTCTAGGGAAAATCGATCACTATGTGTGTGGGTGAAAGGGCTAGCCGATTTCATGAAGTGTGTATGTTCTCTCAAGGTTTTCCAAGTGTATCTGGTGTTGTGTGAACCATTTGAGGTGTCACACTTGGGGTACTAGGCACTCAAGCTTCATGAAGACTTTCTACATCAAAGAGGTATGTAATTCTAACTTGATATATTCATATGAATCATGTTATTATGCTAGTTAGGATGAATACCTTGGAAAGTTCATATTTGCATGTATAATAGAGAAAACATATATCCAAGTTATTTCGGGTTGCATGTACACTTAGGAGTCTTAGAATTCTCAAAACCCAACGATATAGGCCATTGGTCAACATGGTTGTTGCTTATGGTGTCCGTGGATGGCATATGGGCCATTGGTCAACATGGTTGTTACTTATGGTATCTATGGTTGACATTAAGGCCATTGGTCAACATGATAGTTGATTATGGTGTCCATGGTTGACATATGGATGACATATGGGCCATTAGTTAACATGGTTGTTGCTTATGGTGTCCATAGATGACATATGTGCCATTGGTCAACATGGTAGTTGATTATGGTATCCATGGTTGCCATATGTATGACATATGGGCCATTGGTCAACATGGTTGTTGCTTACGGTGTCCATGTTTTACATATGGGCCATTGGTCAACATGGTAGTTGATTATGGTGTCCATGGTTGACATATGGATGACATATGAGCCATTGATCAACATGGTTGTTGCTTATGGTGTCCATGGTTGACATATGGGCCATTATTTAACATGGTAGTTGCTTATGGTGGCCATGGTTGACATATGGGCCATTGGTCAACATGGTTGTTGCTTATGGTGTCCATGGTTGACATATGATCCATTGGTCAACATGGTAGGTGATTACGGTGTCCATGGTTCACATATGGATGACATATGGGTCATTGGTCATCATGGTAGTTTCTTATGGTGTCCATGTTTACATATGGATGACATATGGGCCATTAGTCAACATGGTTGTTGCTTATGGTGTCCATGGTTGACATATGGGCCATTGGTCAACATGGTTGTTGATTATGCTGTCTATGGTTGACATATGGATGACATATGGGCCATTGGTTAACATGGTTGTTGCTTATGGTGTCCATGGTTGACAGATGGGCCATTAATCAACACGGTAGTTTCTTATGGTGTCCATGGTTGATATATGGATGACATATGTGCCATTGGTCAACCTGGTTGTTGCTTATGGTGTCCATGGTTGAAATATGGGCCATTGGTCAACATGATAGTTGCTTATGGTGTCCATGGTTGACATATGGAGGACATATGGGCCATTGGTCAACATATATCATTTGTGTCAGTTGTGTGTTAAATTTAAAATTTTCAAATACTAAATTTTGTAGGAAATATTTATTTTTTAAATAATTTTATTAATAATTTAGGGTCCCCGATTAATCCCTACTGAGTTTGATTAATCGCTTATCGCCAGTCGACCGCGAGCTACCGACGGATGATTTTTACAACCTAGATTAATTAAAATAGAAATTGAATTTTCTTTTAAATATGAGTTTTTACAAAACTACCCTTACTAATTAAATACGAGTCATTGTATGTATTAGGATAATTTGGTCATTTAGTAATGGAACATCTTCTAGGCACTATAATGTTTTCCGACGAAACATGTTGTTTCAGTTCTTCACTCTGAAATTCAGTCACTTTGAAACATCCCCAACTTAAAAATTCCGACAGAAAAAAACCCTAAGATCAATTTCGCAGAATCGTTATCTTAGTGAATGTTTATTATTATGGAAGCCAGTACTTCATCTAAGATTCAATCAAGAAATCAAACGAAATCACTATCACACATGCCATTTGAAGTGATGGAGAAAATAATAGTCAACTTGGCAAAAATTTCAGCAACCGACGCTTTCAAGATGAAGAGTGTGTATGTTTTTCCTTTGATCATTCTATTTCACAAGTGTATTTGAGTTGTCTTTACATTATCAAGCGAATATTTTGTTTCGTTTGTAGTTGCAGATTCTTCAATGAGGCAAGAAAAATGGATGAAGTATATAAACATATGGAGTTAGATGGATTACGATTTCGTGTTTTCTCTGAACACAAACATACAGTTGTCAGTAAATGCATAGAGATGAGAAACCCAAATATTCTATTCAACGTTGTTGTATATATGCATAGTACTAATTAATCTATTACTTGTTTTGCATAACTTTAACTAGAAATTATGTGTTTAATAATTTATTCAAATGAAGTTATTTTTGTTAGAAGCTGAACATGAAGGGAAAACAATGCTTGAAGAAGTATCTGCATTGGGACATTTGGATTCAACATTTGTCCTGGGAATGATACTGATGGCTGAAGGGAGACATAGGAAGCACAAAGCTTTAGACATGTTGAACAATGTTTACCGCAGAGCAAAAAGTAAGTGGAATCTTAGAGCAACGTGTTCTAAGGTTCATCTCCACTTAAATAGGGAGGGCAGGAAACATGTACACTTCCATGGCTTCCAAAGATCTTGTGCATTGCATAAGTATGTAGGTAGTGTATCAGACGCTTTTGTGAATGGATACAAATGGGTGTTTACGTATGACATTTGCTTATGGGATGCTTCTTTCGTTAGGGTTTCTAGGGAGTTTGGTATAACTTATGAGTAGTTTGTTGATAAGTATTTTCATATTATGATAATTAATGCTATGTGGATTCTTTTGGTTTAATATAAGGGACTAAAAGAGTTATAGTTTGGAACGGTGTTAAAATAATGTTTGAAATTTGAATAATATATTTTGAACTTTTAATATTAGTGTTTATATTGTATTGTGATTATAGTTGTATGTAGCAAATGTTTTTTCTTTCTTAGTATTAAATACATATAAAATATATTTGTAAATGCATAAAAAAACATGTATTTTATTTTAGACTTGGTAATTTGGTTTAATATCAACTAGTGGAGTACCCATGCTTTTCATGGGGTAAAATTGTAAAGAAATAAATATATGGACTAAAAGTGGCAACAAAGAAAAAGTATTGTTGCTGAAATCAAACTAAAAAAAGTTACTATAAAGATAGGGACTAAAAGTGGCAACAAAAGAAAAGTATTGTGTCTAATAAGTTTACTATTAAAATCTTTTTCCACTTTTAATATGTATATTAGTACATGAATAGATACTAGTAATTTGGTGAAATGTTAATATAAATGTATTACATTATGGATTATGATATATATGTTATTTTTGTCTTTTTCAATTTAACAATCAAACGTCCAATATTACCTAGCTATAAATGGCTATAATATTTGAATATGTTTTTTTCACACAAATACCCTTAGTATTCAAATATTTGGAATGATTTCAGGGGCAATTTGGTCTTTTTGCACTCTAAATTGTATAGGTGCCATCATACATCTGACGTCACACCGGCGTTCCAGTTTTTCAACCATTCATAACATCTCAACTTTTCCGGAAAATAAATCTGTATACAAACAATAAAACCCCCAAATTGTCTTAGAATAATCGTTCTCAAAAACGATTTTCTCCGATAATAGAGACTCTTGTACTCCTCTCAACCAAATCAGCATAAACTAAGTTTTTTTCCATACCCTGTTACACTGTCTTTCATATTTACGCTTAGTTTAAAAAAGAATTGAAATCAACTACTCCAATGTGTATTTTGTAAGTAGAATGTCGAATACTAGAAGTCTCCTTTCGTTAGATGATCTCCCACTGGAGCATTTGAGTCACATATATGTAGTATTAGGGTCAGAAACTACAAAAGACACCGTCTCTGCAAGACTTTGGTAACTATCAATAAACATCAAATAATGAATGTATATTTGAAGAAATAAAACTTTATTTGTTTGTTATTTACTGTATATTTAGAATTTTGAAGTCTAAAGAAGATGTATGAAGCAGGGAGTGATCCTCAAGTGTACAAAACAACATGCATTGACATGTTTGAAGGAATGGGTCCCAAAACTCTGAAAGTTGATTCATTTATACGCACATGTGCATTGCATAATAACATTGAAGCCATGTATAGACAAGGAATTGTATGTTTAATTTCAGTAATTATATGTAATCTAAATATACCATTTATTAAAATTTTGTGTCATAGATGTTATATATGGATATTGTTATTCTGTCAACAGGATGAGTGCTTTTATTATCGCAATTTTGATTTAGGATTGACTTTGCTGATAAAAGCAGCATGCGAACATCATCTTGAGGCAATTTATTTGCTTGGAATGATCTACATTTCAAGAGGGTCTCATCAATGAGATGAAGGTATGTATAGATGGTATATATGTAAATTAAATTATATATATAGTTAATTAAGGCATGTTTGTAGTTTGGGGTTAGTATTTAGTTGTGTTGTATAATATTTACTGTTTTATTGAAAAGGGTACATTGGATTAATTAATGGATATTTTAATGTCTAGGTTTACAATTACTTGATGCCTATTTTGGTTGGGCGGTTTGGATGACGGGGAGTACACGGGTGTTGTTGATAGTGCCAAATAGTTTTTGCGGGCTATTGATGTTATTCATATAATTACAAAGAATAACATCACATTCCAATGTGAGGAACCACGTCATCCTGTTGAAGGTGCATTGGAAATAGGCCATGAAGAGGATGATGATCGACAAAGATATTGCACGGTTTTTCATTAGTATGTAGAGTATGGTAGGTTTGTATATTTCTTAAAAATATTAATGGTTGATAATAGAATGAACACTGAATATTAGTGTTCTTGATGAATTGTATATGAAGTTGTATAGTACTACTATAATTTTATTTTGTTTTGTTAAAAAGGCATTTTAGTCAGTTTTTCTTGCTATGTTGTTTGAGTAGGATGGAGTATTTGTAAAATTCATGTTATTTTTGTGATGAAGTATAGTTAATTTAATTAAAAATAAATTTGTAATGAATTCATTATTAAGGAAAATAATCTACATAGATTATATATACTTTAACATGCCCAGTTAATGTAATTAAAAACAAATTTGTAATGAATTCATTGTTAATTGCTCATTATAATACTATGTTTTCAATAAATTTGTGACAACCCGACACCTTTACGTCGTGAAATTGATCCATATATCCATAATCCATGTGAAATTAACATATTTTATTAATAAATTGGGTCCGCGCTAGTGTTTTAGGCTTAATATATCATAGATATCGACTTTATGAAGGATTAGGAAGGGTGTAGCATTACAAAATCCAGCCAAAAACACCAAGAGAGGTGTGTGCGGCTGCACACTAGTGTGTGCGGCCAAGCCAGCCACACACCCAGCCGCAAACCCCTCCAGCCTCACACTCCACCCTATATAAAGTGGAGGACCCTCTTCCATTCACTTTTGGCTGCATCCTTTCTCTCTCTATACTTTCTTTCTCTAGAAAACCACCCAAGAACACCTAGAAGGCCTCCAAAACGTGAAGAACACCATCAATTAACCTATCATAGAGGTAAAACACTTGAATCCAAGCCTCAAACTCATAATGTTCTTCATGTTCTTCTTCCTATGAAGCAGTGTGGCTGCACATCTTCATCAGGTGGCTACACACACTCATAATACCCTCGAAAGTGAGAGTAAGGCAACACACTCAACATCTGGGACTCAAGCAAGGAGTGTATGGCTGCACACCCTTGTGTACAGCCGCATACACACTGTACGGCCGCACACTCTAGTGTGCAGCCGCACTCACAAGTCTAGCTGCGTACCCTGCCGCACACTCACCCTTATGGCCATACACACACCCTAATACCCATATTTGGCCTTAAAATTGCATAGATCATTAAGTATATAATACGGGACACATAGCCCTAGTGATTCCAAGCCTTTAGGAGAGATTTCCCATTACGGTTAGTCACAAAAAACCTTAACTATAACTTATATATCTGTTACCATATAATTAATAGGGACTACTCACGTTCAGAGCATCCGTTGACACTCGACGCTCATACGGATCGCATACTCAAACCCTACCTTCAACAGTGAGTTCATACCCCCTTAACTAACCTTTCGTATGTTTTTAACTACTTTTATGGGGGGAATACAAGTTGAATTCGATACATTGCAGTATCAATCATATGTGATTAAAACTTGCTATCAAAAGGATTTTCTACAGTATGTTGTCAGTGAAGTCATTTCAAATGTTTATTAACCTCATTTTCAAAAATCAATTGTCTCGAAACTTACTTTCATTGTTTTCAAACCTTAAATTATTTCCAAATCATGTCTAATCCAATATATTTATATAAGTAAGTATTGAAGGACATTGGACTGATAACTGGCCTTATTTCTTGTTCTTGTTTGATTGTGGACTTAGGGTGTTAGGTTATCTGTCCGACTGTCGTTTAATACTTAGTTATATATCTTGTATATTTGTGTTAGACATAAAAGTTTTCACTTTAGTTCGATGCTTCTACATAACAAAGACACTTAGTCAAGTACTCAATTTAACTATAATAGGTATAGTTAAGAACTACCACTCATTTCTGATATTACTATGATACACACTATGATCAGTACAATTACAAGACTATATGTACAATATGCAATATGAAGAGAACACCATACACTATTATGAGGAAACACTAATCATTACAAGAAGAAATACTATAAACTACAACAAGAGAACAGTACAAAGTATACTAATAGAATACTATATACTATACGAAAGAAAATACTACAACAAAATGTGATGCAGTATTTCTCTATACGACCTATCGCCATGCGATCGTCGGATAACTATCGCCTCCTGGAGGAGAGCGACCACTACGTATATAGATCTATACGGGACGGATATTTTCCCCCATCCTGACTGCTAGCTACAGTCCGAGCCTCTTAGGCCCAAGGATTACAAACACTATTAAACTATTGGTGACCTGGAGGGTCAGCCACTACACTACTATCACTCAGTATAGTTACATACAAGCTCACATTCAATTAAACACACATCCCGAGGTGTGTACACAATTAACACTATACGGAGTTTACATTCACGAATACACTTATCCAGCATGGATGCTGCTGGGGTGAAACTATGTTAGTATAAAACTGTATTTTTCATTTCTGATACGTTCATAAGAAAACTAATTATATTTTCAACAAAATGAATTTACAAATAACTATGTCTTGGTAGAAGACTACTTTTGCTGGAAAATATGGGATTTTCCACGGATCAAATCATCTTCAAATCTTGTTAATAAATGACATACTATTTGATTTGCATACATTTTTATACAAACAATGACACTAAATACTTATGAACTCACCAGCTTTATGCTGATATTCGTTTTCAAAATAACTTGCAATCTTAGGTCAGAAATAAACAGGTACGAGTGCGGTTTTGTTCATACTATAAGACTCATCTTTATTTTGTTCATACTTTTGGTGTCTACGAAAATGTACAGAACACACATGTATTGAAATTTACATATTAATGTGATGAATGTTGTTGCTTGTTTTTACTATTATGCATTGTTATGATACTGAACATGAAGTCCTCCACCTCAAAACGTATTCCGCCGTTCTCGGTTTTGGGGTGTGACAAAATTATACACAACTTGATGAGCACAACTAGCTTAACTGCGCCCTTTTCTAGCATAAGCTTAAGTTCGAGTCTGCTTGCCAGCAATATCTATTCATTT